TTGAAATAGATGCCATGGCATGAATGAATGCCCCAACAGTGTTCCTGATGGGTTGCCCCCCCCCCATCCCCCAATGATCAGCTCTGTTTTTGTAAACGCTTTTAAATCATCACGCCTCGATCCAGGCAATCTCGCAAGTATTAATTTCTGTGTGTCTTCTCTCACATGTGAATCGCTTCAGATATAACCTTGAGGTAAATGTCATTTTATTTGTGACGTAAAATTAAACCCCAATGTAACCCGACCCGCTCACTTCTATCTGTTTGTCATTTGGCCGAGTGTCCAGCGCGTCTTTCCTGAACAAATGCTATGTACGTGCATTTGAGTCCCACCGTTGTGAAATAAGCGCGGCGCGCCCCCCGCCACGAGGGAGGTGCCGTATTCAAGGGGTGGAAAGGTAATAAAACAAACCAAAACTTGTGGTCTGCGCGGTGAGCCTGTACACTCCCTCCTCGAACTCGGCCCGAACCCGCGCCGCGCCAGCGCGCCATGCAAAAAGGACCGCGCTCTAATATGTGCGGACCAGCAGGGGGCCTAAAGTCCGACCCTCCGGTCGCTGAGGTGCCTGCGCGGCCATCCCTTGGCGCTGCGTCAAAAACCGATGAACAACACAAGAGAAACAACAAACAACACTATATATAGAGGATAAGGTCCACCGACGAAGAGAAACAATAATATATATATATATATATCTATATACACTTGAAGAGGAGAAGACACACAAGAGAGCAGGACAAGAGAGCCTAGACAACGCAATGACGACAGACCAGGAAGAGAGAAGAAGCACAGACATAGAGAAGACAACAAGACTAAACAACCCCCCCTAGACCCTGGCGCTGAGCCGAAGAAGCTAGCCGCCGCCCGCCTGCATCCGGCTACAGCGGCGCTGGGAGTCTTGCCGCACAGCCGGGGTCAGAGAATCTCGGCCTCCGACCTCGGGTACAAAGTTGACGCCACATGAAGGTACCCTGGGAAGAGTGACACGCCGAAGTTTCGAAGAGCAACACTTATAAAAGATGATGTCGGCTTCGTCAGACGGCCTGGGCGCCGGCCGGAGGTGGCCGGGGCCTGCGATCCGAAGGCGACGACGTGGGCCCGCGCGGTGAGCATGAGCACGCCCCATCGGAGCGCGCGAGGACAACGGGTCGTTTGCGGCAACCCTATAGCCCGGGCCGACGGAGGTCGCCGGTAGGAAAAGTCCGATCAACGAAGACCGCACCACCCGCCCCGCGCTCCCGACTCACATTGCTGTGAGGAATCGCCTAAGGGGCCCTTATTTATATAGCACTTTTCACAGAAAGGATTCACAAAGTGCTTCACAGTGAGATCACGATAAAAAGGAGAATACATGGTGTAAAACAAGGAACACACAGCTACATATACACATCAAAACACAACATCAAAACATAAAACAAACTGTCAAAAAGAACCTTCACCTTTACTAAAAGTCTGTCTAAACAACAAGGTTTTCAGCTGCTTTTTAAAAGGCTCCACAGAGTTTAAAGTGCGCAAGCAAAGTGGCAGCGCGTTCCACAGTCTGGGGGCCACTGCTTGAAAGGCTCGATCGCCTCTGGTTTTAAAGTGCGTGTGCGGAATGACCAGCAGGCATTAGTGGACACTGAAACATGCACATTGGGAAATTAACATAGGCGTTTAGTTTATTTAATAAAAGAGCACATGTTTAATGTGAAACGTGACCGTAGATAGATTACTTCAGTTGCAATTTGGTGCTATATATATATATATATATATATATATATTCGACGGGTCGATTTAACTTAAAGGGCAGAGAAAGACAAGAAAAAAGGTCCTGGGACCGCCTTGGGCGGGTTGTTGCTGCACACCGGTCTCCGATCTCCTCGGATGGACTGATGTTTTCGTGGAAGGGATTTACTTTCAGACCCGTGACGAGCAGTTAAGCCACTTCTTGGACCGTAATTCTTACGCGACCTGGGAGGAGCCGCCATTCCTTGTACTCGAATCTGTTATATATTTTGGTATGTAGACTCTGTTGATGACTTATAGTCAATCGCTTGGATAATCTTTTATCTTGTTGAATTTTGGTACAGGGAGAGACCGTTTTGAATTGTGACAAGTTTTTGTAATGGGATGGGCGGGGGTGTTTGAAATTGTATAAATTGTAACGTTACCGTTTTAAATAACTAAAAGGCATTCGTGTCTCTACAACTATGTACAACAACAATGGATTCCGGTTACGCACGTAGTCCGACTGAGGGAAGCCCCCCCCGAGTAAAAATACCAAACCCGTCCGTACACGGTGTGTACCTGTCACAAAGGGATGGTAACGAGAACCGGCCCCCGCGACGCGGGACGGTTGCCTCGGGGCGCGGGACGGAGCTTTAGTTCCACAAAAAGAAAAGAAAAGTTNAAAGTGACCGTAGATAGATTACTTCAGTTGCAATTTGGTGCTATATTTTTTTTATGGAAGCCCATCTCCGCCACTTGAAAAAAATAAAATCCCCATGTAAAGTCATAATTATGAGATAAAAAAGTCGAAATTATGAGATAAAAAGTCATAATGAGATAAAAAGTCATAATTATGAGATAGAAAAAGTCATGAGATAAGAAAGTCGAAATAATGAGATAAAAAGTCATAATTATGAGATAAGAAAGTCGAAATTATGAGATAAAAAGTCATTATGAGATAAGTCATAATTATGAGATAGGAAAAAGTCATGAGATAAGAAAGTCGAAATAATGAGATAAAAAGTCATTATGAGATAAAAAGTCATAATTATGATAAAATTCATAATTATGAGATAAGAAAGTCGAAATAATGAGATAAAAAGTCATGAGATAAAAAGTCATTATGAGATAGAAAGTCATAATAATGAGATAAAAAGTAATCATTATGAGATAAGAAAGTCGAAATAATGAGATAAAAAGTCATAATTATGAGATAAGAAGTGCGCATGTGCTGCAGTGGCGCTGTCTTCAAAGGTCCCTTCATCACCTTGCTGCTCTCCACCATGCAAACGGCATCTAGTCCTAAATAAGGTGTAACTACTCTGGTCTTGAAAGAACATTACGCATCGAACTGATGTCCACAATCACGTTTATTCTCTTCTTTGCACAATCATAAAACACCGTGAAAACGGGTTTGCCTAGTAGATCAGCAGTAGAATTACGTTATCACATCGTTGACACTTTTACCGCACACAAACACAATATAAACATCCGGGGAAAAAAGGTCACATGACTTCCGGAAAGACAACTCTTATCATTTTTACAAAATAAAACAAAGTTCAAGCCTACATTAAACACTCTTCAAAAAGGACAAAACAATAATAAGGGACCTTTGAGCGTCAGCTACATAAGGTAACTATTACAGGTGACTTCTGTAAATGTTAGATGTTACATATAGCCTATATTGCAGCTAAACAACAATGCAGTTCATAGCTTTGACATGACCTGTTATGAAAAATAATATTGCCTATAGTTTTGTGGTAACGTTCACAGGTTAGAGTTAGGCTAGCAACTCACAGCAGCAGTATGCCTACACTATTGTCATTAGTGGCGTGAACGTTACCACAAAACTATAGGCATATATATTATAGTTCATAACAGGTCATGTCAAAGCTATGAACTGCATTGTTGTAGTTTATACGTAGATACCGTAGATAGATTACTTCAGTTGCAATTTGGTGCTATGTATATATTTAAAAAAATAATAATTTAAATTAAAAAAAAACACCTTGAATTTCAGGCAGGGCGCGGGGCTCCGTTGGCAGGGCGCAGCGCCCCGCCAAGACAATGGTAGGGGAAACACTGGCCAACTCTTGGTGACTCGGACTTGGACTCGAAGAGCGGTGACTCGAGAGTGACTTGGACTCGAAGAGTGGTAACTCGAGAGTGACTTGGACTCGTGAATTGGTGACTTGACTACAACAGTGCTGTGTGTTAGCATTGTCCGCATTGCTGTAGTGCTGTCCTAGAAAATATATATTAACTCAATTAAAACAGAGGCTGCAGTATTAATCTTACTGTCTTAAAGGTGACTTTCAAATAATAAATACGATGCTTTTGTCTTGCTGCAGGTGGTTCGTTTCTCCAAACATGGTCTAGCTAGTGTCTCTGAGGCAGCAGCAGCTAGCACTGAGCCAGGATGTCCAGCAGCTCGGGCTACCCCCCCACCCAGGGGAGCTTCGGCAACGAGCAGGGTCGCTACCCAGCACACTCTGTCCAGTACTCCTTCACCGGCTCACGCCACCAGCAGGTAAAATAACTTCCTTCTGCATTCTTGTTTGAGACAACTGATGAGTTTGTCTTATCATAACTGGGCTCTCACGCTCAACACTGAAGGCTTTTACGTGTTGACTTTACTCCGAGTCATTGGAAGCTAATATGTAAATTCACTGCTGTGTGTAATAGTTGTATGTCTAAGGGTGTGAGTGACACACAGCGTCATCTTGGATTCCTACATCTGAATTGAGTTTTCTTTTTTTTCTAATATTGAGCGAAGTGTAGGGCTAGAATTTATCCAAATGTTATTACAACTACAATATGATCTAGTTCAATATCTAATACACAATAAGTACAAAAATGTGAAAGCTTACAGACGAAAAAATAAATGCTTGTTTGGCACAAATACTACCACACCGTGATCATTTTATCATATTTTTATTTTAATAAATTTTCGAAAATTATAATTCCTTATAATATTGCGAATCATATCGCAATAATCGTGCAGCCCTAGCACTTCATGAGAATATAAAGTCAAGTCAAATCAAAACATCTAAATGTTTAGCACAAGTGGTACTAAACAGGAAACAAATTTACCATATATTATAAATTGCAAACATTAGCAGTATGGCTGCTCAGAGCTACATTTTTACTGTAGTTTCCTGTATATATCTTGCTCAGGATTTAATTAAAGAAAATGCATTGTGATTAGGCGCTTTCACACCAATTACTTTTTCATACTTAGTTCCCAGTACTTAGTTCATCAGAACTCTTTAGTTCTGATGAACTAAAGAGCAGATCGCGTTCACACCGGAATAAGTCCCTGAGGGAGTATTAGTCAAATGAAGCCGCTGACTTCACTTCTTTTTCTTCTGCTTTGGGTTTAGTGGCAGGCCGCAAACAACTTCACGGCGTATACTGCCACCCGAAGTCCCCGGCCGGAAGTCCCCGGAGTTGGGGACTGGCTTCAGTCGAAGCTGCTGGGACTCCCAGCAGCTTCTACTGAAGCCTTCCGAGTAAATCGCCAGAACGCCGACACCTCCTCATCTCCACCGCTCCCATGTTTTCTTTTGTGTTGCCATAAGTTAGTCTGTCTCCGTCGGTGCGCAGGGCTAATGCTAATGCTAATGCCATAAAATACAATGGCGGCTTCACAAAACTTTTCGGAGTTTCACGGGCCGTGGTTTGCAATTCGCCCAGCCAATCAGAAATGGGAAAAATTTTCTCCCATGAAAGTACCTGCTCTCTAGCAGGGACTACAAAGGGGGTGAAAAGGTTCTCATGAACTAAGTTCTAGTTCCGGATTTCTTTGGTGTGAATGCAACATTTCAAGAACTATACTGGGAAAAGTACTCCGGTGTGAAAGCGCCTATAGTTATGTCGGATCACATCCCAATGACAGATTTAAGCTAGATTCAACCACATTTTGTAAAGGAAGTAATTTGGACTCGGCTGCAATAACTAACCTGATTAACCAGAGTTCATTTGATTACGTTTATGAGCATGTTTTGGGACTCTATTTTCTTATGAGGAAGAACATTTAATTCTTAAATAACCTTTAATTCTTACATAAATTCATTTTTTTGTCATGTTAAAATTATATTAAATAAATAAATAAATACTCAACACATATTTGGGATATTCTTATCATAATTATGCAGCTCACATCAGTCACATGGGTGATTTGACTGTAGTTAATAGTGGATGATGTTTGTCATCCATTTTGGAATGAAATACTTCTTAGAAGCTAACTTTCACAGAAAACTGTCTGCGGGACATTTCTGGGCATTTGGATTGTTTGCTTCCATCTGGGACAAAACTGATATGAAATGTGTCCTGCAACTGCAATTGCTTGTTCAGGTTTGTTTGGACACTGATAACATTTATGTCTTCTTTACCCAATCCTTTTTTTTTTGGGGATCAAAGCTTTTACTATTTACTAAGGTTTTAATCATTTTCTTGACATCAAGAAATTATTTTTAGTTAACCTGATAGGCGCAGCGTTAGTGGTTCCAGTAACTTCATTGTGCTTTGACTAATGAGGCAAAGATTTGCCTTGCTTCCTATTCTGTTATTATTCTACATTTCCTCCTGTGCTGATAATCTTGAGAACCTCGTTTTTTTTTTTACATTCAGGGCTAAACACAACAAATACATTTTGAATATTAAGCAATAAGAAGTCACAATGCTCACATTATGTCTTCATGTTACACTCAGAACTGCTGTTGTTGACTGGTAAAATGCTCATATAGTCCATTTAGGCTTTTTGCCTTTTTATTAGATTGAGTACAGCAGAGAGAATACAGGAAATGAGGAGGGAGAGAGAAGGGGGTGGGGGGAATGCAACCGTTCCTATGTGTAAGAGCCACTGTGGACGGCTGTATTGATGAAAACTGGAGTGTATCTGTTGCATAAGACAGATGTGTTGCCCGGTGACGACAGGATTCGCCTATCTGTCATAATGATTCGGATGCTTTATCTGCAAAGTGCTTTGTTATAGTTGCAGCTTTGCAGGAGGGACTCATAATTACTATAATTGCATAACCTTTCCTGTAGTGTGTTGTATAGGTTTTGCGCATGTAAATGGACTGCAAAGGATGAAAAGTCTCTCCAACACACTCTCCCCGCCTGATATGCCTCGATTGGACTCCTTTGTTTACTTTCGTAAAATAGTGACATCACTACATAACATTTGCGCTTCTATTGGCTAGCGCTGAAACACATTGTATGTGAGGCAGGATGTCTCTAAGCGCTTGACAAATGACAATAGAGCCGGCCAGCTAAGCAATCAGAGCAGAATGGGCTCTAGTTTAGACCGTTAGGTATTTTGTGACCTTGTTTGATTTGCTTAAATATGTGTTTTTGTGTGTATCTCTTGCTTTCAGGATTTCTCCATCCCAGACTATCGGACTCACATGCAAGATGCTCAGGGTCGAAGGAGACCATCGTTATTGTCTGAATTCCACCCTGGAACTGAAAGGTAAGGCTTTACATTTTTTATATAAGGGTACATATATTGCATTCAAACACATTCATACAGAGGCAGCCGTGCAAGGTGCAACCTGTTCAGGCAGACATTCACACATATTGACACAATTTGGCGTTATGTATCTTGCCCAAGGACACATCTAAATGTTGGTGGATGACTGTTCTACCACCTGAGCTACAGTCGCCCCAACAATCTGTATTAGAGTGTTGTTTTTTCTTTCAGCACACTCTCATGATTACAGTTAGGGAAACATTCATCTGCACAACGAGATCTAGCTTCTGATATTATTTGAATATGTATTGTTTACTTGCAGGCCTCCAGAGAGACGCCATGGTTACGAACAGCAGTTTCACTCGGCGCAGTCTGAGCATGAGGCCTTGGATTCTAAACGCCCTCGCATGGAGACTGTTGCCGAGGCTCACATCTCACGAACACCTTCCACTGCCGGGGGGATTCTCATGCCCATAGGCCATTCAGTACAGGACAGTCTGAGAACCTCTGCAGACGTCAAAAAGGTGGGCTCTGTTCCTCTTCAACGACTTCTGCAAAACAGAAAGGACCCTTTGGTCTATGTCAAGCTTTTGCCCTTACAGTAACAAACACTCCAGGGACTCTTTGCTTGTCTATAGTTTGTTTTACAGCACATGCTGAGAATTTCATAGCCCTCTCGTCAAAAAATAACTTCTGACTCGAAATATGCCCGAGCCCAGCTCTCAACTTGATTTGCATTTTTTTGGTTTTCCCCTAAATAATCGTGGATGGTACCTGGTCATATTTTGGTAACAACTGCGTCGAGGTTCCAAGTGAGCTAAGCCAATAATAGAATTGGGAGATAAACAATTCAGAACACTAATGGCACATTTCCACTACAGCGCGGTTTAAGCGTGCCGTGCCCGGCCCGTTTTTGATTGCGTTTCCACTTGGCGTAGTACCGGCTAGCGGGTACTATTTCACAGTTTCTCTGGCCCCATAAAATGGAGGTTCTTAGCGGGCCAACAACCAGGCTGAGTCGGCCTGAGTATTTTAAACTAGAGAGAGAATCGCTGGCAAGGGGGCTACAACTACAACGCAATGAACATGTTTGACCATGATTTAATTGTAATACACGTTTCAAAATGATGCCGAAGTAACAACATACTGATACCGGTTAGTAAAAACCATGAATTAATGCTTTGTCTGCAGACGGACGGCAGGCGAAAAACCTTTTTAAAATGCGTGTTTTCTGAATGGAGATTGGTTAAGCTAACGTTGTATATGCTCTGACCGTCCACACTCACAACAACGGCCTATACAGACATAAATAAACGTCAAACAAGTGGTTTGTACTTGTTTAACTTTTGTCTAGTTTCTGAACAGATATGAGGAGCTGTGAGCTTGAGTGCTAACAGCTAACAGCTGATGTTGTTTTTCTGTGGTTCGCATTGAAGATGACGTCACGGCTCCGTCTACACTGCGTTACTATAGTTACTGCCCCAGCTACTAAACTGTAATGGAAACGCAGCATAAAGTGAGCCAGTCCTAACGAGGCCTAACAAGGCCTAACTATACCGTACTAAGCCGAGCGAGGCCCTGCAATGGAAATGCGCCATAATTGGCTAGAGACAATCGTGTTTGCTATGCGTGGGAAATTCTCCACAAAACCACCACTAAAATAAATGGTAGTACTAGTATAGTATTAACTCGACCAAGATATAAAATAAAGAAATGGCTGTCTGCAATAGGACGCTGTTCGCTTGGTGGTACAATTGAAGAAAACGCAAACCTTTCTTTGGATGTCGATATAGAAAGCAAGTGTCACGTTGAAGATGATTTCAAAGGAGTTTCACATGGCGTTTCTATCAACGGATAATCCCGCCTACACTGAGGGGGTACCATCTGCAGTGGAAAACAAATAGATAAAAGGACCTGGTACCAAAAGTGAGTTGAGTCAAGCAGAACCATGCAGTGGGAACGAGGCAATAGTTAAATACCAAAACCAAAATGTAGGCTCTTCCGGACAATCCCTCTCTGACTGTGTGTTAACTTTCACAGTTGATATCTGCAGAACTGGATAGAATCATTTTGTTTTCTACAGATCTTTAGCTGTAGTTACACTCGAACTCAATTATCCCTGTTGTTTTCGCCAGGACTCTCAGTTCTCTGTCAAAGTAGAGTCCACTTCCCAAGGAGGACATGCACTACACATGGGGGATGACCAGGACGCTTCTCCCTCTAAACTGTCCAAGGAGGAGCTGATCCAGAGTATGGACCGTGTGGACCGAGAGATCGCTAAAGTGGAGCAGCAGATTTTCAAGCTAAAGAAAAAGCAGGTTGGTTACCTTGTTAAACCGTTGTCTCTGCAGGTAGACTCAACATCATGTGTGAGGTTTTAGAACAAATTGCACAAGTCATTTCAATTGCTATTTTAATTAGGCAACAACTAATTCGAAAAAAAATTAAGAACGCCAATGAACAGTTGTTAATCCTCATGTACTTTAAAACAACAAATAAATGCTGTAAACATGTTGATTTGATATCTTGTATTATGCTTTAGATTTAAAATATCAGGATTTATTTAATTTGTATGTCAAAGGTATTTTTTGCTTACATTGACATGAATGTGTTTAGTTGGCATTTGTATCTTTTTTTTTTATCCAGCAGCTTTTTCAAGTTACCAATCCAGTTACAAATTCAGTTTAAGGCTGGTCGATATGTTGATATTATGATATGAGACTAGATATTGTCTTTTGATTTTTGAGTGTCGTCCTCTCTTGGTTTTTAAGGCTGCATTACAGTGATGTCATTTTCCAAATTCATCAGACTGTTTGTAACTGTTATATTATGATTCAATAAATCCGCATTGCTGATAATTGTTTAAAAAATGTTCACTGAGTAAATATCTTGTGAACGCTTCAATGGTCAACCCTTAACTATCGTCACAACAACAAGTATTTTGCCAAAAATATTGGAAAATTCAATTTCCTACATGTTGCTCAGCCCTCTTTGAATGATATATTGTAAAGATAACGAGTTGTTGTCGGCTTAATGTGCAGCTAGCTTCCATGCTTCTCCAGCAGTCTTTGGACCTTGTGATCTCTGGTGTTCATGTTAACAGACTGTCAGCACACAGAGCTTTGGCTTGCACTTTGTCTGCTTCTGATTTTTTTTATCTCATAATTTGGGCTATTAGATACCTTTAAGGATCTATGGGCTAATAATCCTGTACCTATCATTTACTGTACATCAATGTACAAATAAGGTGCTGAACTTTCTACAGGCTTATTTCTTCACAAGAAAATATTTCTGTGTGGATAAGCTTGTGTTTAATCCAGTTTGTGGCTGTTTTTATGCAATTTTTTTTCTCCTGAAATCCACCTCGTTAGAAAGGAATGTGAGATGAGCTTTGCTAGGAGAGTTTATCCAGTCTGCATTTTTCCCAAGTCGTTTAGGAATTTATTTGTTTATTCAAGGTATTTCAGGAACTCTTAATCTCGTGTCTGTAACCTGGTAGTTGACATAACCTTTAACTCGTAAACATTGACCTGCAGTTCTTTAAAAAAAAAACTTGAACAAGAGAGAGAGGAAGTAATCTGATCATACCTGCATGGCCTTATATTATCATAAACTGAGATCACATCAGTGTAGCTGCATCTCTCCTTTCCTTAATTGTTCCCACGTGAAAAGGAATACAGATAAAAATCATACAAAATGTTGATTACGGTCATGATAAGAAAAGAGGCCTCTATTGCCTCTATTTTTCCGTGTATTTCGTCTTGTGTGCTATTGGTCAAAATGTGTTTGTTGTCTCTTAGCAACAACTGGAAGAGGAAGCAGCAAAGCCGATGGAGCCAGAAAGGCCAGCGACCCCTCCCCCAGTGGAGCACAAGCATCGCAGCATAGTCCAGATCATCTACGATGAAAACAGGGTCAGTCATCAATGACACAACAACACTTTTATGGCCACGTTGTTTGTGTTGCAGCTATTTATTTTGTTCTCATCTCTATGATTATTCAAAGTTAGAAGAAGCTATTTTTGCTTTTCAAACAGCCAGGGTTAACCAGCTAAAATTGTACAGAGTCGCGCCAAGCGCCTCACAGCAGGGGATAACCATGGCGACCATGGCCAAGATGGGACAGTTTCCTCTCTTAAAATCAAGTTATTTTGCACTAAACTGAAGGCTGAACATGTGTCTTTAAGTCTTCTTTGCTCTGCTCTCAGTAATGTATTTTCTTCTTACTGAATTTCTATGGTATGGTGCTAGTTTGTTTTCTGTATCACTCTTATTTTTCTTTCAGCTAGGTGATGTTAGTCAAGATACTGCTGATGCTATAGAAACTCACTCCAGAGGGAACTTTGGGATTTTAGCATGCACAAAAACCTATATAACAAACACAAGTATGGCCCCTTTTAAATTCAAACTAGTGGGAGGCTTTTATTGTTGGAGCACTTGCAGGAAATATAGGAGTTAACCGAATGTCTCTATTGATACTTTGTTCCATTAAAAGTGTGGTTCATCAAGAGATATAGCTTTAATGTTTGTGAACCTCACCCCAGATTTGTTGTAACACAGCATTTTGCAAAGCAATGTTTTTTTTCATTTTCATAAAAAAAAAATGTTGGAATGCACAGAGGTTCATGATTTATATATTATTCTAGAAGTTAACCATGTTTACTGCAGTTTCATTTTGGCAGAAATGTCCATTTCCTCAATTCTTTAAAAAAAATGTTATTACATTTAGTTTTAGTAAAGCTCAGAGGCAGGCATCCTTATCTGTGTTTCAGCTAAACAATAGGGAAATGAGTGGGTGAGGGTTTTTGGAGGACACTGGGGTTCGTGTCTGTCAGACATTGTTGTGGCAGGAAAGCGCTGAGACACGCCTTCCTCCTCAGTTAGCTATTAACCCTTCACGCTGCGAAGCTGCTCCCAACCATGTACATCATTCGTCTGGCAGCTGTGTTTGTTTTTCAGAGTCTGAAGATGACACTTATGGGAAGGGAAAATAAAGAGTTATTCAGTATTGTTCTGATGAGCTTGAAAAAGCTGCCAGTCTTCACTGATCCAAGAAATGTCCCTGTCACTAGCCAACCCTATTGGTTATACCTCGGCAGGCGCACATTTTCGTGTGAAATTCTTGCTTCTCTAAGCCGTTTGCAGTTGCTCACTTTTATCATTGTAATCTTAGTTTATTTTGACTTTATACATTTACCTGAATCTTTTAGTCCTATGTTAGAGACTACACCCCTGATTAGTTAATTAACTGGACAAATTGAATTGCTGTAATAATTGTAAAAGCATTTATCAAAAGCCTGTCCATGTGTAGCTACTTGATTAATATAAGCTTCTATTAATGCTGTAGCCAGTAACATCACAGAAGTATTACATTTATACGAATACAACCCACATAGTGATTTGTAAAATGGATTGTTTACCAGGTGTAACGTTTTTTGTTTTGGCTGACATTACAGTTTCTCTTCATTATTGTAGGTCTTTTAATTCATGATTCTTCTTTTTTTTTTCTAGAAAAAAGCTGAAGAGGCCCATAAAGTCCTGGAAGGCTTTGGTCCTAAGGTTGAGCTGGTATGTTTTTGAACAGATGATTATGTGTTTCGTCCTTGCATATGGAGACGGTTATGCTGAGCTCAGTAGCAGGTTAGATATTACTGCTTGCCCAAAGGCTAATGATTAACCCCCTGTCTTTCCCTTGTCTGATTGTTCCTTTCTTAGCCCCTCTACAATCAGCCATCAGACACAAAGGTGTACCATGACAACATCAAGACGTGAGTATCTAATTCCACGGATACATTTCATGAACATCTGTCAGCTTTGGCATAGGGACCATCTAAGCTGAAGAGAGAGTGCTGACATCAGCATGATAAACCTAGCTGATATTTCTTTCTTTTGCTGAGTCACCAGATTGCCACCCCTCTATTATCGCAAATGATATCCCTCCTAGTTAAGGGGTTTAAGGCCAGGCCATTTATGATAAGAGTCTTATCAGTTTGCAACAGGAGAGCAACCCATTTAAACGAAGACCCCTCTTTGTGAATGTAAACACTATCAGGGCCGGCCCAAATATTTTCTCCCTACCGCCCCCATCATGCGTCAGCAAAAGATTTCACAGTAGGGCTGTGCGATTATGGCAAAAATCATAATCACGATTATCTCTGGTCAATATTGATATCACGATTATTAAATACGATTATTAATTGACTTTGAAAACATCCATTTATTGAACTTTAAAACAAATGAAAAATAATAATTTGAACAGTATGTTTTTAACAGTTGATTACCCTGAACTTTAAGTATAATTCAACTGAAAAACCAATCAAAATATTAAATTATACATTTATATCTACATTTAAATAAATAATATCAAAATAATAAATACCAATAAAGAAGATAAACAAATATTTTGGAGCGCATTTCCACAACCTACTAAACATACAGTATATAAATATGATAACTAATGTCACTCACAACCTGTAATGTTTAATTATACTGCTACACGCAGTACTCTTATTTCGGTAACCCCTCACCTGGAAACAGGAAGTAGTTAAGAGGCTCCGGCTTGACGAGGTTAGTAAAAGTTGACTGTACGCTAGAGATCGGAGAATAAAGACACAGCAACTAAAGCTTCTTAAAGTGTTTATATCAGGGTGTCCGCGGGGTCTTAAAAAGTATTAAAAGTTGATAAACAATTTAGCGAAAATTAAGGCTATTAAAAAGTATTAAACGGCATTTTCCAAGGTATTAAGAAGTCCCACAGCAACGCCAAC